GAGTTCGCTCTGCATCTCAAACACGTTTAGAACATTTTTTGTACCTCCAATACCAATACACTTTCCTCCTAGTGATCGAGGAAATGTTCAATGTTTCATTTATGAGATGAGAAAAAAGGTTAATGAGATTCCTTTAGACATGTGAACCGAACTGCACCGATCGGCAGTTCGCCTGTGGTGGTGATGATGCGAAATGCATCCCGAAATTGTGGTATTGCGACGGAGAACCAGATTGTCGTGACGGTAGTGACGAGCCTGGAAAAGACATTTGTGGTGAGAAGCTTATCGATTGGTACCTCAGAATTGCTAGTAAGAATTCACTGTAAACGATTTCCGTTCAGGTATTCGCATTTGTCCTGTTGGTGAGTTCCAGTGTGCAAATCACAACTGCACAAGGCCATTCCAACTTTGCGACGGTAACGATGATTGTGGAGACGGCTCTGATGAACAAGAATGCGACAAGCCATGTGATCCTTGGATGTTCAAGGTAATTCAAGAGCGGATTCGGTCCTCCTGTCAAGGTCAAGCATGCAGTTTTGTCCGCTGCGGATGGTGGGGCCTGTTAAGGAAGGCTGGGTTTGGTGCGGCCAGTTCCCACAATTGGTGGAGAAAGATCTGGCGCTGCGCCAAAGCCAACCGTCCTGAAACGTCCCAGCACCCGCAAAGAACAAGACTGTATGTCGCCGCTTACGCAACGCTGACAGTTGCATATGGCCGGCCTGGTGGCCAGGGAAAGCGTAAAGTTAGTGCCAGCGTTTTGAAGGATGTACAGAGGGGCACATAAGAGGGCCTTAGGCTGAAAACGGTCGCATGCACATCAAAACTCAGGAGGGGGGGGGGGGGTAGGAGAGGATACGCGCAGAGAAGCCACCAACGCGGTACCATGCTAGACTAGACCCTACAATGACCTAGTAAGGTTCTCAGAGACCATTCGCAATATTCTGAGTTCTTCGTCGGATGCAAGGGAGGGAAAAATTCAAAGTAATTTACTTCAACGCCTTTTGAGAGTTACTGTTTTCCCGAGTATGGAGGATCAAAGGCCCTACTAAGGCGCCCCACGGTGCCCCAGATTTCTTGGTCCCTTATTCCTCAACAAAAGCAGAACAAGGCCTTGAGTTTCTCAGAATTGTGGAATTCATGTGTGTAGGCAGGCAATGTGGAAGGCACAGTCCGCGTTGGTCGTATGGGCGGAGTCGTAGGCGGAAAAAAGCAAATCTGGTCCCTCCCACGTGAGCAGCGTAGTTTGTGCTCCTTGAATGGCGAAAAGTTTAAAGCTTTTTTCCACCTAAATTCTTAGCCTAGTAATGCCGTAATCCATCTGTTTAGTGTACTGCTACTGGAAAGTGCATTCCGAAGCGCTTCACTTGTGATGGCGATGACGACTGTGGTGACAGATCAGATGAAGCCGATAGTCTCTGCTGTGAGTTGATCATGCGACATTGCTGTGATGACTTGTAGTTTGTACCTGACATACCGTACTTCCAGTGAGTCCCGACAGGAACTGTACTGCAGAGGAATTCCGTTGTTCAAACAACAAATGCATTGCGAAAGCTTGGCGTTGTGACAACGATGACGATTGCGGTGACGGTTCAGATGAGACCCCCGACTGTGCACAGATGGACTGCCGTCGTGGATGGACCCGCTGTGCTAGTTCGTACAGGTATGTTCCTCTGATACCTTCTTTCTAAGAATATGGGGTGCAATTGAGGGCCGTTAAATTGGGAAAGCGTGAATGAGGAGGTGGAACAGAAAGGAGAGGTGGTAGTTGGGCGCAAAGCGGGGAAGTTTTGGTCCATAGTTTGGGTGCACCTGCGAATGGGAAATACTTGTAGTGGGGAAAGCTAGCCTAGACGCGCCATGCTTTCAGGTTTTACTCGGAATCTTGGTTTCCCAGTGCTTCTTGACCCCTATCACGAATTCTTACAAACGAGACCCACAAGCACCTTTTCCTGGACGAGTCTAGAA